AAAGAAATAATAAACGTTAGTGGAAGTAGTCAAAGTAACACAAAAATAAAAGAACAAGCAAAAGTTGAGAACAAACCTGAGGGGTCCAGTGAGAAGAAAATGTCTGAGTATCATCAAAAGCCAGCAGGACCAAGTAACGCTAAAGAAACATATAATGTTGGACACTGTTATCAATATAGAATTGGAGTTGATAAAAAAAAATAGGAGGCATTCATTAACTACAAAAGATCTGTTAAGGATGAATATAAGTAGCCTGAATAGAAGTTGAAATATGCTGAAGGTGACCCAAGAGCACAAAATGTGCTCAGACTGTGCTACCAATATAAAATTGGAGTCAACAAGAAGTATTCATTCGTTATCAAACATCTGCCGATATAGGACATGGTGAAGGAACATATAATGTTGATTATAGTAACCAAAATAGAAAGGGTGTTAAGTTTGATGGAGGCAGATTTACTGAGATGGATAGTGATGATGGTTTGGTTGAGCCTGGACAACATTATCAAGATGGAGCAAGGGTAATAATGGATGCACTATTGGACATAATCTCGAGGATAGATACGATGATGAAGAGTCTACTGGATTTGTTGATGGAAACTGAGCCTGAAAGTATCCCTGTAAATACCGAAAGTTGGATAAACATTAGTGAGGAAAACAAACTGGTTGAATATAAAGCCCTTAAATATTCTGGTAAGGTTTGTGGTACTTTTAAGAGTTCCAGTAAGGATGCAAATAAAGTATTCGACTATTACCAAAAAGCTGTTGATGATGGTGAAACCGATAGAATTGATGTTGATGAATCTGAAGATCAGAAGTCTGCTACTTCTAGATGTGAGGTAGATATACTTCAGTGGTTTTGGGATATGAATATCGGTCATGCAAACGAAATGTATAGTCATGGATGCTGCTATAATAAAAGAATTGGGACTAAAAAGAATGAAGATGCAGAAAAAAACGAAACCAAAATTGGTATTGAAAAGTCTGTGGGTATGAACCTCATGGGTGGATCCTTCGACCTTGGAAACTGGCATCAGACTGGAATAGGTATTAAAAAAGATGACAAGAAGGCTTTTGAATAGGTTTTAAAATCAGCTAAAAGTGAAAATCCTAATAGAAGGCTTAATGCTAGATTATACTACAAAAAAGGTATAGGTGCTTCCAAAGATTAACGGAGGGCATTTGAATGATACTTAGAGTCTGCTGAAACTACTGATAGAAAGCTCTGAGATAAAGCCATTAAAGATGGGTAGTATGAGAATTCTGGGATAACAGTACCTGATAAAGTAAACAAAAGGACAATTAAAAATAGGATGTTGTTTATGGGTAAACGCGGCTTTGACCAAAGCCGATATTGAAATATAGAGAATAAGGCCATAAGGAGTTATAGTAAAATGAATCGAATACAGGAACTGCTTGAAGTGGGTGATAGTAGAAAAATCAAATTTCTTAAGCGATTGTATTTGGATCACACAATCGGCTACAATGGTGTGGAGTATGCGATATTTGGAAATTGAATCGACATATATTTGGGTTTGTAATGTTTGTAATCAAAAAAAAAAAAATTTTGTATTAGCGAATATACTAATTGAACAGTATATTATATTATAGTATATAGGTTGTTAATAATGCTGGGTATTGCAAGTAAATAATTTGTATTGGAAAGTTGCTTTTACAAGGGTTAAAACTTCAAAGACAAAGTTCTGGAGGATCTAGCTTGTATCACAGGTTGATTTAGTACCTCGGAATTTCATAGTACCAGGTTTGATCTGGATCGGTATATGTAGATAGCGTGATCTGGATTTGTATAAATAGGGTGATACAGATTTGCATAAAATTAATTTAAAGTCTAATTGTAGTATTGCATAATGTATATAACCTGGATAAATATATATGCAGCAATAATCTTGTAATATATAGAGGGCATGATCTAATAATAATAAAGTAGCATTTAAGTTTGGCTTTAGTAAATAAACGTCTAATTGAATCACTGTGTAGTCATCATCATAGTAGTAAAGGTGATGAAGTAAAGAGATGGAAGTATCTGACACATTAACCCCAGACATTATGATCAGCAAAGTGAGTGAAATTCAAAGGTTAAAGCAACAAAGACCCTGTAATACTGTCAACATACTTGATACCAGTTTCAACATCACAATACTGTCAGGTCTATTTGCTCAAGCTTGTCTATTCTAAGTTAATTCTCAAATAATATATGTTCTAATCTATTACACTTAATTATATGATCTAGATAGAGATATTTAAAAAATCTAAGTTTTCTAATATGATTTAATGTATTTATTACTAAAACTGTATTCTAGTTTCTGCAAACATTTCATATGCTAGACCTCGGATTTTTATACTTATTTTTTGTAATATTACTGTAGTATATATTTTTAATATTTTAATCTGCCTGGCCTATTTTATTTACATTCTTAAAGTTATATTTTATTTTATCTTGTCTTCAAATATTTTACCAGTATATTTAATACTTAAAGTAGTTTTTCTGTTTAATCCAAGTAAGTTTCTAAATTTTTCACAATTTGCTTGATATCTTAAATTACTATTTGTACTAACTATTACATTTGTTTTTTTATTCTTATCAATTTTTCTGTATTACTATTAATTGTATATGTTATGACTACACCACTTCATTCACTACTTTTAATATTTTTATTTGCACTTTCTTTAATTCAATCAACTCTTCTCTCATACTGTCTCTTTAGACTTATATCATCTTTATCAATTCTATTGTTTATTAATATTTTTTGCAGACCTTTATTATTATGTCTAACTTCATAACTACATCCAATAGTATCTTTATAACCACTAACATATTGTTTAACAACAATATCTAATGTTAATTATTTTATCAGCACCATCTATCTTAGTGAACTCTTGATTACAACTAAACATTTTACTCTCATTAACATTGTTTATATTTAGGATATAGATCTCATTACCTTGAATACTTCTATTCTTATCAATATTCAAATCTATTCAATTTTTACTAAATCATTTCACTTAGTTTTTACTGATTCATTTGAATCAGCAAGTGGTTCTTTAGATCTATTTATCTTGTAATGAATTTTTCTACAATTATATAATGCAAATACATTATTTTATTATTACTAACTCTAGTATCATTCTGGTTATCAGGCTCAAGATTATTTGTTTCTTCTATACTTTTTGTCTCCATCAAATTTTGATAATTGATAAACAATTCAGGTTTATTCCCTTTGACATTGCTTTCATCATACTTGTAGCAAGCTAATTTTTAATGATTAATGAATAAATTATGTTTATTTATTTTTACTCCTATTCTATTAGTGTTATCTATATCAGGACCTTGATAATAGCTAAATACTTTAAGTTCAATTTTGGTATCAATTTCATTTCTATAATAACCTCTAGTAACAATATACTTTTCATTGTCTTTTTGTATCTTGGTGATGATAGATATTTTTGTATTGATCTGTAATTTTTTTTTACTATATTTAGACATAAAAACCTCTATCATTATAGCTTTTACTTCAGAAAACTATTGATATAATTGGCCTAATATAAATGTTATTTCCAACTTAGCAAGTTTCATTATAGTATTTTGATACTAGTACAAACTATTAAAGAAATATATACTTCCAATTTGCTTTGTTTTCTTGTTTTATTTACATTGCAACTCTCATCTTTATTTAGTTATGAAGGTACTTGAATTTTTTTGTTTTTTTATCTCAAACAAGTTATTCTCACTTTTAAGTTTAACCTTTAAATATAGTTCATATTTCTTATTTTTAACTCCATTTTGATTACAATATCTGAAATTAAATATTCTATCATTACATTCTATATCTGTGATCTTTGATAATAAATAAATTCCTTAGGATTATACTTTTCAACTCAACTCTTTTTATTATTTGCTAGGTTGGTTGCTTTTTTACTATGTAATAAACTTTTATGCTTTCTTGAATTCTTAATTTGCTATTCTTCTTGCTAATTCCATATACTGTATACAACTAATACTGGTCAAAAAAGTGAAATTCGACCCTAATTTGGCCAGAAATTGGCCAAAATTCAACTACAAATCGGTAGTCGATTGGCAAATTTTGATTGAACTCAGGTCAAATTGGCCAAAATGATTGACCTGAATTCAACCCAAAAAATACTAGGTAAAAAAAAAGGTAGCTGATTGTTTATACAAGTAGCCGATTGTTTATACAGATAGCTAATTATAGGCTGATTGTTTATACAGGTAGCCGATTATAGGTTGAATGCTTAATTTTTAACATTTGACCTAAATTTGGGTATTAAATTTTGGCTAAATATTTATAACAATCAGCCAAAATTCGGTATCCGATTTTAGGTTAAATATTAAAATTAAACATTTGACCTATAATTGACTACCTGTATAAACAATCAGCCTATAATCAGCTACCTGTATAAACAATCAGCTACTTTTTTTTTTTATCTAATGTTTTTTGGGTTGAATCTAGGTTGATTATTTTGGCTGATTCAACCTGAGTTCGATCAAAATTTGCCAATCGACTACCGATTTGTAGTCGAATTTTGGTCAATTTCTGGCCAAATTGGGGTCAAATTTCACCTTTTCGACCAGTGTAACTATATACTAGAATCATCATTTTTTACATTACAACTTCTTGAACCTTGGCTCTTTCAATTCAGACAAGTTTCAGCTAGATGTCCTGGAATTTGATATTCATAGCATAGTCATGGTTTTTTGATTCTTTTTTTTGTTTTTTATTGTTTGATTTTATTAACTAATTCTGTTAAACTACTTATAATATCTTTAATTTTACAAGTTCATATTTTTATTTTTATTAATCTAATTCTATTTAACTTCAGATCATGTTTTTTTTTATTAAATTTAATTTACTACAGAATGAATTCATTTTCTGCTTCTTGTTTTATTCTTTTACTTCATACTAACAATATTTTTTTGCTTTTTTTTATATAACATCACTTGTTACTTGAAATTACATAAATTTTAATAAAATTCAGCAAGTAGAATCTTTATCTGCTCAGATCTTTGTGTTGTATTTAGTTATAGTTCACAAGGTTTTTGTTTGTTTTATTTAAACAGTATACTTACTTGGTACTAGTGTATCATACCAGATACTGCCATCTCATTACCTTACATTAGAACAAGAGAAGTAACAATATGTATATACTAAGCAAACTTAAAGTTACTTTATTATAATTAGAGATTATTATGCTTATATACAAGATTATCTTCAGATATAAATTTATCTAGATTACACAAATTATATTATTCATAAAATTATACTTTAAATTGATTTTATACAAACCTGAATCACACCATATATGCAGATTCTGATCTTGATCAAATCTAGTACTACAAAATTCTGAGTCACTAATTAACCTCTAACACTATTATTAGAACTGAGAAGACCTGATAATCAACTTTAATTAAAGCCAAAAAGAAGATTTTCTTAATAACAATATCTTTTTTAGAGCACTTGTTTAGATTTTTGGATAGCATTAGCAAAAAGAGGTAAAAATAACAATTCTTTAATCTTAATATATAAATTACTGCTTTTATAAGATATCTAAATTATAACAAAAACAAGACTACTCAAATAAAGAAGTAGAGAATTTGGTCTGAGAACAAAGAATCCTACTTCTACTAAGATTCTCAGATTAGATAGTCTTTATTATAGTTTTATTTGCTTATTATCTATCTGCTCTATTAGTTATTTGAAACCAATAAGCTTTTATATATTATGAACAACCTTGAGACTTTGCTAATATGATTAAAACTATTATAAGTAATATATCTTTTTAGAGTATTGGGGATCTTTACTAACAATAAGCAATTTATATTTATTTATATGATAATAACTTTAGTTTCTACTATATAAATACTAGCAATGCTTTACTATTGTTCTCAATAGAACATTGCTTTAAGCCAAACCAAAATTAGCATTATTAAATAACTTCACTTTGTCAATCAATCTAGTTCTGAAACTTAAATCACATTTTTATAGCAGTGACTAGATCATATTATCTAGTTACAATATACGTATATATATAATATGTATATACATTTCTTTATATATAAATTAGATACTATGCTTAATAGCTATATGCAATATTTTATTTAATATAACTCAATAGATATATACAAATATTTTATTTATTAACGCATTTCTTTATATAAGCCACATGCAATGTTTAATAAATATACAAAATATTTTTATTCATCAATATGATACAGTCTTTTCTAAAGTCTTAGTTAATTTGCATATCAGTTTTTTGTACTAGGTTTTGTTAATCATTATGTGCAGATCTTATGATCTGCAAATCAGATTTCAATAATCAGGTATAATATAACACAATCAGGAAACCATTCATTTTGTTAAAAATTGCTTATTTCTTAATAACTTGCATAAAAAACTATCTTCATTGCTTTAAAAAAAAATATTTCTTGAGTGATTTTACTATATAACCACCTAACTTCTAACCTTCTTCTAAATGCCAACCCTAATATTAATATATTTTAAAAGATTTTACCTGCACTATATGATTGACAAAACCTAACACAGAAAACCTACATGCAGTTAATTTAAAGTTTGCTAAAAGCTTTGATCTGCATTAAAAGTTTTGACTTTTGTAGTAGTTTTGCTTTTTGCAGAGGTTTTGACTTTTGCCAAGATTTTTAACTTTTGCCAGAGGTTTTATTTTTTATCAGAGTTTTGCTATTTTGTTTTTTACTGAGTTTAGGTTACATCTTTTACAACAGTTTTGTCTAACAACTATAGTTACCTTCTTCTAAATATACTTTGGCATGGTCTAATAAACAACAAGAGTATTTTGTTTTCTAAGTAAAGTTTTTTTAGTTTTGAAATTATTTTGGAATTATTTTGCATAGTAAATAAAGACATTTTTCTAAAGCTATCAATAGTATTGCAATAAATTTTTGTTAGTAAAATATCATATTCTTAAAAAATACTTTAAAATATATAAATAAGTTACCTGAGCAATTGATTTATATTAGCCAATCAGATGAACTTCTTTCTATAAGACTAGAGTAGTTTAGCTAATTAGCTAGTCAACACATGATATCAGGCTAATTAAATATCATATTTACAGATCTTCTGTATCTTGTAAGCTGATTTGTATCAGTTGTTTATATTTTTAAAAACTTTAGATACAACAGAATAGGGTTGGAAATACAGTGTCCTAGAGTATATCTTTGAGCAACATAGCAAGCTTTTATTCTAATTAGTTAATTTTTAAAATCATCTTGTGACTTTACTAAAATCTGATTGGCTGATAGAGAATGAGTTTAAAATAAAAAAATATTACATATACGTTGGAAAATTTTTTTAAGATATATATCAATTATAATTCTCTAGATTATAATCGATATACATCACCCCTGCTGAGTATAAATGATAGTAAATAAATAACACTATATAGCAAAAATTTGTTAAATTTTATCAAACTTTGACATAAAATTTCTTGATAACTATCAATTGAAATTGGTTAAAATTTTTACTGTAGATAGTATAGATAGTCAACTATAATATATAAAAATTTCAGCTAATTATAATTACTAGTTCACAAGAAATCACTTGTATACAATAGTTAATTTTTTTAAAAATTAACTATAATATACAATTGATTACTTGTGAACTGGTAATTATAGTTGAATACCTATACTATCTACAGTAAAAATTTTAACCAATTTCAAATGATAGTATCAAGAAATTCTATGTCAAAGTTTGATAAATTTAACAAATTTTATAATAATCGATATATATTGTTAGTGATATATATCGATATAAAACTATAATTAATATATATTATTAGTGATATATATTAATATATAACCAATAATCAATATATATTATATAAAAAAATTGATTACAATTGTGCTTGCTGCTAGCAATCGATACAAATTTTCAAAAAAAATTTTCTGATATAAGTAATTAAATTTTAACTTTTAATAATTTTTTTTTTTTTTTTAAATATTAATAGTGAGGCCATGCCTTTAACTTTATTGAAATTCAATTGAAGTTTTTACAAAGAAAAGCTTGCTTTTAAATTATATATGAAGAATAAAGACTCAGACATATAATCTGTGACCTAAACCTACAAGAGTGGCCAAGGCTCACCTAGATTTGGATATTAGTAATAATATGAGAGAGAGGAGTATGATA